TACTCACTGGAGAAAAACAATAACAAAACAACAACCAGTCCACGGAAATTGCTCTGGATCAGTGGCCCTTTAACGGATCAGGTATCGTTAAATGTGATAGATTGTAAAAAGCATTACAACATTAAAAAGCGGTCGTTAGGGTTGATATTATACTATTCTTCCAATGTAGACAATGTTGAGAATGAGGGAAGGAGTGCTTCACTTCGAGAAACATGTACGTGTTTGCTTAAAATGCTTCGCTTTGAGACTGTAGAAAGTGATATTTTTATAGATATTATGCTATTCAATATACTTGAACACAATTCAGAATATATCTGTGACAGTGAAGTCGTTTTACATTTTTGCTTAAAATGCTTCGCTTTGAAACTCTATAAAGTGATATTTTGATAGATATTATGCTATTCCATGTAGGTAGACACAATTCAGGATATATATGTGAAATTGTAGTCGTTTTAACCGCCGAACCGAACCGAAGCCTTCCGATAAGACCTGTGACGAAAGTCACTTTGAGCAACGTGATTGATTTACCAAGATATTTTATGGATTCAAGCTTCTTTATTCTTTCCAACACAACGTTTCGGGATCATTACAGATCCCTTCATCAGATGATAAATCCGAAACGTTGTGTGGGAAGAATAAAGTAGCTTAAATCCATAAAATATTTTGGTCATCTGTAACAACTTCTAAATGCCGCTAAAAGACATCGCGTTTGTTGTAGTAACTGTGAGCCGTGAGGTGATCAATTTGTATCAAGTCAGATGTAAAACTGTACTATGTAAACACATCTGAACATAGATCTGCAAGATTTAAGTTGATTTTCACAACCTGGACAAAGTCAGACGAAACACTTGTGGGAGACATCTTGAAAAATGTAGTAAAGTGGCGACTTTCCAGCAGACAAGTTCGTTTAAAATGAATTATGTGTCACATCTGGTAGTTTTTGGTTTACAGCCCTGGTCAAGTCGGACCAACACAGGCTAAAACACTTCTAACAGAGGCTATTGTGAGCATACAGAATATTTCTCCATAATTCAATTCCAATGTTCGACACCACGCGAAACGATTTGTGATCAAATTTTAATTTTCACAGTGAAGCCCATGAGTTTGACGAGGATCAAATATGGTCAGTATCAGATCACTGTTATATGATGCTCATGACACTGCTGCATAACTGATTACCAGAAACAATGTCTGAAGACGTACAAATGTTCCTGTGTCTTAATGTACCTGACTTGTCAGTGGTGAACATTTCCACTGGAATTTCAGTACCTCAAACAATTAACAACGTTAAAATCTAAGTTTTCTATTCTACATTTTTTTATTGCTGTTTCTAACACTGATTGCACCAACAATAAGAATAAGTCGAGGTATTTAACGTGGGTAACATGTTGTTGTTCTCTCGGAAGTGTTTTGCTTTAAAGATGAAACATATCCAATGCCCTTTGGCCTGTAAATATGTTATCTCGGGTTACTTGCTTGCTACGTGTTTTTGCATAGATGGCACAGGTGAACGGTTGGGCGAATGAACAGCCCATGTATCATTTTAGACTGTAGAAGATGTTATAAATAATGAACATGGTTATAACCCTGTATGGAAGGCCTTACTTTATACCAGGAATCATGTCAGAACAGAGGGTATAAAGACTATAACAAGAGCAGTGTGAGGGAATGCAGTTCAGTGATGGCAGCGTTACGTCTGAATGGTCTTCTTTTTTCTTGCACACCAGTTGCAAGGTGAAGGTAAACTGGGAATGTTGATGATATTTTTCATGTGTACACATGAGTAAGCACGCATGGAAATATGTGCGTTGTTTCAAATACGTGTTTTTCTTCATTTAATATATCCTTAATTGGGGAAATGTAACTTCGAATACTAACCAGTTTCGCAATTTGGCCCATTTTATGACTATATAAAACAGATTTCTACCTTTTTGTAGTTTGATCATTTTTATGAAATACAAGGGTTTCAAAATGTCGGGCTCTCTATTCACCTTAACTTCAGCACAGCGTATAGTTTACTATAAGATAATACAGGATACAGTTTAAGAACACCAAAGGTAATACAATTTTTACCAACATTTGGCATTTACCAGCACAGGAGTCTTTCAACTGATCATATTTGAACAGTTTGTTCCTGTTCCTGTGCTATGTCCGAGAGTGGCGTAGATTTGTTCACTGTACAATAAATGTTGTGTATTAGCATCTCAAAAAGACAAAATATTATGTTTTCGCATATTTCAGCATAGGAAAAATCCTGGTTATGATTCATTATTGTCTACATGTACGTTCGTTCTCTGTGCAGACAGATGTTGGTTATCACCATATCTGAAACTTAACAAAATGCTGTTTTCACGGACATAAGTAAACCTTGCTTGCTATTCAGTTTTGTTTATTTTTTGTGTACACGTGGGGCGTAGCTAGATCTTAATAAGTTTATAGATATAGTTACATTATATGTATCAATGCTTTACTGATTTACTTGTGATTATTCCCTATGAGATATCCTCTTTCCTTTATTGAAAGGAAGTTTCAAGGTAGAGAGTTTACACCAATCATGTCCTCTCATTCCAAGTATTAACTGAAATAAGATGAGATTAGCATGGATATAACATATATATGACTGTTGAATATAGACGTTCTATTGTTTCGTTTTTCACATTAAATAATGTTCTTTGGAAACTGATGTTAAAGTCAATTTCTTCAAAACCCCTCTTAGTAACTGCGTCAGAATGGTTACGAAGCCTAAGGATCTGTCTTGACCATAATTCAGAAATATTCTTGATTTTATATTAATTTGTAATTTGTCATTATTTTAACAAAAGATTAATCCCCGAAACTATAGCTCTTGATAAACAACCGTGTATGTTATTTTCACAGAGATATTTTGTGGAACATCGATCAAAACAAAATGCTATAAACAGATCGTGAATATTTTATCCATGTTAAATGTTGGGCCCAACGCACAATTCTTGGGAAGGACAAGTGAGCGACAGACAGTCCTAAGAAATCACCCCTCTTGCCTATGACCTACTTTGCTGCACAACAATCGCGTCGATATGCAACTTGTCGTTACTACCGACAGTAATAGTAAACATTGCATGTAGGGTTGTCTAGAAGCTTCACTTGGAATACATTACTGAATGTAGGGTCTGCCGTGCTTCAGTCGCGTGCAGTGTTGTATATTGGGACAGACTATCTTTATTTAAGTGCAATGTTGAATATGGGGACTGCATGGCTTCAGTCGATTACAGTACTAAATATAGGGGTCATGTCACGACGACTTTCATGTCTCGAAACTGATTCTCTAAAAGTAACCGTTACGATAAACGTTCGCCAGGTGAGGCTTTAGCATCGATGAAAGTGATGAGAAAATATTCTAACCAGCCGTTCTCGGATTATCCTATAGTAAACACATAGCGTGTTGCCTGGTAGTTACGGTCACCATTGTGCAGTCCTTGCTGCTCAGGACCAGTCAGTTCCCACTCATAACCGTCAATTTGTGGTTTTACGTCAAATATAAATATGAAATATAGATTATGTAATCAATTAAATGTGACTGTCCAACACCTTGTCAGTGGGTGTCCATCGTTGGCACAGTCCATATCTTAATCAACATGATGGCACTGCTCGGTCCTTTTAATACAGGCTTGTGGTTTGGACTCCGAGGTCCATCAAAGGTGCGACCCAGAATATGTACAAGGCGTCATTGAAAATGGCACTTACAAAATTCATTGGAGTGGGCCCATATACAAACACCTATACCAATCCTGGACTTGTCCGTTTTGAAATTATTCATATCAATAACAATTCTGTCCCTTCGGAGAGCAATGTGATTATCATGATACAGGAAAGAACATGGCAAACATGCGGACGCCTATTTAAACTATCTCACTTGCATCCCAAGTTCCATGTTGTGGGACTTCCATTTGTTGGCGCAGATTAAGAGTGTGCCCAGGTTCTCCGCCGGGAGCGCAGCTCTTTGGACGCTCTTGATAATGCAAAAGTGTGCATGTGTTAGGGAGTCTCCATATTCTCCGGAAGGTTTTTGATGGGTTAGACTAGGCAGCACAACCTGGGAGAATTCTCATTTGCTGATGGGCTGCGTGTAGAGGGGGCAAGACTACCTGAGATTATGATGAACCCTAACCACCCTAACTGTACAAGGACGACCCAACCTCTCTTTGCTGCATATTTTTTTAACCTGTAAATGTTTTGTAGAACGTTTAGTATTACTATTCAATATAAAATATATTTACTGACAGCTTAAAGTGTTATCCGTTCACGACATTATCTGATGCTCATTTGAATTCACATTTAGACTCAAGATCTACTGGCCATTGAAGGTTAAAATGGTCTCTTCCTGACATAGCTAAGATTTCAAGCCACCATGGTGTGACATGTATTTTTGTAGGTCGTTAAAGCTTGGTAAGCATCATCCGTCAAATGTGTTCTGTTTGAATATATATAAAGTGAGACCCATTCGAGACTGAGAATGTGGGTTCGAATCCTAAATGGGACTCAACACCAGAAAGGTACTATGATTTGTACGTTTCTGAGAAAGTGTAATCCGAAATATGACGTGTTTGATTACTGCATTTACAGGGACAGGGGGCTTGCGTCAGCATTTTACAGTCAAGCGACTTCCGATTATCCTCAGTGACTTTAGTTTGGCACCTCTCTGTGTAGATCAGAAGCTTGCCCGCCTTTACAAATGGTACAACAGTCCTTCTGTCAACTTGCCATATGCAGAAGGCTGCACTATTGACTGCCCCTGTCTTAAAAAGATTCGTGGTGAGACTGACTGCAGTAGCTAAGGCGTCTTTGGAGAAGTTGCATTCACATGCAGGATTGCGCGCAGAGACGACATGATCCCACTGTCCCACAATACCCACATTCAGTCCCGCACTCACACTCGCACCCTTTATTGAATATTATCACTCTATTCCTTTCTATAAATACATCAATACATGCAATGGTATATTTTCTTTTATGTATTTCAGACCGTGTTTGTGTTGAGGATTTGGAATGATCGCCTGGTGGTTGTAAAGAAAACATACCAAGGTTTATCTGCGCTATGATGCTAATGACATGTCATCACTGGGTACAGAAACAGTTGATTACACGGGTATTGATATTCATTCCGATTACAATACAGGTTATGGATATTTAACACTTCTGATAAATTCGGATTGAGAGGACTCCAAATTAACTTTGAACACGTTATGTTACACATAAGTGTATGACGTAATCGGCGGATTAAAATATTTAGATAATAGTTTCACGAGTTTGTTACACATGTTAAGCTTTTCAAAACTGTAAAGGTCAACGTCAGTAATTTCCCTACATGCCACATATTCTCGCGAAACATATTAATAAGTGAGTCAGTGAATGTGATTTGTTAAATGCCTGCTGGGAAAATGGCATGGAAGTCATGATGTCTGAACAAGGAACATACAACAGGTGTTTTTACATAACATGTTATTTTTGCATCTCCTGTATTAAGTAAGTCAGACCGTTCAAACTATTTCAACACCACACTTACCTTTACAGAGGCCTGCAGAAAATGCCTGTCAGTAGGAAAATTGTACAAGTCTCACTCGAGCTGCCGTAACACCATTCTTCTTCACACAACCCGGTCTATTATTTGTGCTGGAAAAAAATCTGGGCAACTGTTAGGAAAGAAAAAGAAAACTCTTGACAGACTCGGGAAGATAGTCTCAGCTTGGAGGAACAGCGGAGGAGGCCAAGTTCTGATTCATGTAGAGGGTCAACTATCCGAGGACAGGTGTCTTGAACAGTTTGATGAGTTCATTACCAAGAGTCTGTCTGATCTCATTGATGACGGAGAACTATATGTAGACACATACAGGCGCCAATGGCTATCTGATATACAGAGGTTTCAAGGCCATACTGACTTCGTTTTTGTGAACGTGAAGGAAACGAGTGGGATAGCCACTCTGGATTTTAACACTAAAGTGAGGAACGACATTGGAAATGTATCAATAAGGTCTGTCAATTTGGCTAAATGCATGCTCAACAGGCGGACAAACACAGTTCCCCCAACGACGAAAGGATTGTGTGAAAATATTCAACTACTCCATGAGTGCCGGAATACTGAACTAAAAGGATTACATGTTGACAAATTGAGGTGTCCAGTAGCAACGAATATTTCGAGAAGCTCGTCAGATTTCGTGGATTATTTATGGCATGATCTCAAACTGAAAGATAACCTGACCTCCATGTCCAAGGTTGAGGGAGGTGGATCATACTATGTTGGGATAAGTGAGGATACCTGGGACACTAACAGTTACAGAACCAAACGTCCTAATATTGATGGGTTTTCCATGAGATTTGAAGAATCTGAGATCATTAGAGCCATTAATGCTAAACTTCAAAGTGACACAATTGCCTTACATGGAAACAACTTCTGTCATGCCCCTGACAATTTGATTAAAGTGCGGTTACATCCGATTCCTGGAACAGAGAGACGTGTTCTGGAGGTAGCTGTGCGTTGTTTTGATGGTATCATCTTCAGTGATAAGGACGGGCCAAGGACGTATGAAGTGAAGGACAATAATATTCATCGGATGGACAAAGCAGCTTGGTTAAAGCGTTTCAAAGCCGCACAGATATAGTTTAATAAACACTCAACATGGAAGGGGAGTTAGAGTTTGGTGGAAAAAAGAGTGATAGTGGCGAGAGTGATGACTCCAGTGTGCCGAGCAGGTACAGCTCAGAAGGAGACGTTCCATTACTGGCTGATGACGTCTTCTCTGATTCGGATGATCCAGTGATAGGAGCACAGACTTCCGGTAAGGCTTTACTGAAATTATGTTTTTCTATACACGGTGTCTCCATCTGGATACATCCTGAATATAAATCATTTCATTTGCTTGTTTCAGGTGATACTCTCCAGTCAGGCACTGTCTCTTCATCAGAACAAAGGAGGATTGTTGGGATACTGTCAGCTGAATCAGAACAATCGTGTATGTATTTGCAGATCTTTTTGATGATGTGAACATGGAGGTCGGGTTATCTTACAGTTAATAATGCTGGCCTTTATCATCATAATTTACTCTCCATAGAACTAAGATTCTGGTTTTAGTGAGTGCTTGCGTCAGACTTCCTAAGTCTGACTACCTTATCTATTTTGTAACATGCAAACAAAAACATGTCTCAGTATTATGCATGAAGACATCAGTTATTTTTACAGATTCAAGCCATGTCCATTTAAGGATGAGCATGTTTAACTCATCCAAACATTTATTTTTTAAAACGTGTGATTAAATATAAGACATAAATGTGTGTTGATATGAATGTATGCATTTTTTCTTTACATATCATCTTAAGATATGTGGTTATCTCATTTTAGTATTTTTTTATGCAGTCTTCGACATCTTCCCGTCAATTGTTGAAGACGCTCTCATGAAACAGCATGCTCACATTGTACAGAGGCTGAGAGAGCTACCAAAAAGAAATCGTACAGTCGTCATTTCAGGAGGCAGCTTACTGAAGATGATAGACCCATCCTGGGAGGGACGAGTACCTGCTTCTGTCCTGTGTGATGCTTGTGTGTTCTCCCCGACACGCCCTGTCATGGTGCTGACTTTCACAACTGGGGATGAGGACAGCCACAAGAACATTCAATACAATACCCAGCTGGCGATGGTGATCATACAATATGTGAAGGTGGACACGAAGTTTGATTTCAATATCATTCATGACACTGTCGACGCATCTTTGTGTAAGGAGAGACAAGATTTCCTGACGAAGATCGAGCAATGTGAGAATTCAGCCAAATGCATCTGTTTCCCCGCCGAACTACATATGGACGAAAAGAAATGTACAACCATCATAGAGACCTTCCTGAAATACCTGTCTGATGGCACTGAGTCAGCCAGACTTTCACCATCTACGGAGGATAGAGTACATGTGAACACCATTTCCGAGCAAGATGTATGTATAAATTATGTTATAACACACCTTAATATGGTTGATGTTTGAAATCTGGAATTTAAATAGAAATATTTCATTATCGTCCTTTGCTATCTTCAACTATACAAGGCCTAGTGAAACATTTCTGCAAACAAGAATTATTACATTCCAATTGATATTAGCATGTCAGTGAGGTGAAATGTGTATGTGTATTGACATCAAGTTATTTATTTCCATAATCTATACATGTTGCACGAGAGCGTTTCACCTTAGTTTCCGTATATGACTTAACCCTAACAGACGGTAATGGAACAGAGAGACACTTGAAACAGATTGAAGTCCGCCCCCAGGTACGCTTGAACTATCTACCTTGGCCAGTGCAACCACATTTTTCTACAAGTCAGACGTGTATTGAAACGTTTCTTTACAATTTTATCGCCTATCCTTTCCCCCGGCAATTTTTCACTACTTTGATATGGTGATATTTTGCAGTATTTGTTTCAAGAAAGGCATATTTGTGACAACATAGCAACTTTGTATATGTTCCTATTTTGTATTTTTATCTTGTATCGCATACACAAGTTGTGGTTCTCATTACACTTGTTCACCATAGTTTATATAATTATAACTCAATCAGTCGTGGTTGGACCAGTGGCTCATATTTTAGACAAAATATGTGTCTTGGTATCCTGGGTAGCATGTAGCCACTGAGTTTGTGTTTGGGTGAGCGGTTCCTTATATTGAGGAAACATGTAAATTGTGATCCTAATGTCACTATTCCCCATGGATAGATTTCCTTTGTTACAGATTGTGTTCTAGGGGAGTGTCTTTTGATCAAAAGACCAATGTCCGAGAAAGAAGAATCTAATCTACGGTTTTTCCCTGGCTGTCCATCTTAAACACGGTACGACCGTTGCCCTGTTTTTGCTGGTTTAGAAGAGAATTTTACATGCTACAAAAATGTGCTGAGAATGCAGGAGAAATAATTTATTATTTGAAAGAAGATAGCTGGTGTAGCCAATACTCCGTTACTGACCTCACCTCCGTCATCAGCACGTTCTACTTCGGTTTCTGCCCCATTACCTCCGGTTTCTGCCCATCAGGGGGCCTTGACTGAAGTTCCCATTTGACCATCGTACACCTCTTGGACCATCTCCTCCAAAAGTCAACTTATTGATTTCGCGTGATCTAGTGCAGATCTTTCAAGTGCCTGGTGCTTTGTTCCTGTTATCATGAATCAAAAGTACATTCACCCCAGCTGACATACCCACATGGCTGGTGTACTTCCTCCCATATGCTTTGCCATGACAAGATGCCTCCTGTTTTGTCTCAGCTCCATCAGCGTTGTCTGGAAGATGGCCTGCTCAACCTCAATCAGTCGGCGTGGTGTGCCTCATCTGGCAGGTTAATGTTCCCTGTATGGGATCCCCTGTCTGTAATCACCATGGCTTGTTTCATCTGCAGTCTCTCAGAGAAAGACGTATGTGGGTATACATCCAAGTCGTGATAGACAAGGCCCTTCCTTTCATCATCAACACCAGCCTGTAACGCAAGACAAACCACCAAGAATGACCAGAAATTATTACGGTCGGTAGATGTAGACGGTAGTGAATTTTACAGATAGCTTTAACTGGCACCTTTCTACGTCAGTTTCCCATTATGCCGATCGCCCTTAACCTTACACCAGGGATTGAGAAGAATTGTCATGACGAGCGCATTCTGATTACGCTAAGCTAATCTTGCGTTCACCATTTCACTGTTGGAACCTCCTTATCAACCTCAGCAGATTCCCGATCTTGCTGCCAATACAGATACCAAGGATGTCAAGGAAGTTCTTGATGCACAGATCATGTCAGGTTGGTTTGTTGTTTGGGTAACGCATTCCTGCTACATGGCGGCGATCTGTAAATAATCGAGTCTGGACCATACAATAGAGTAATCAGCAGCATGAGCATTGATCCAGGTAGCTGGGATGTGATGGCACGTGTCAACCTAATCAGAGAGTCTGACCACCCGATCCCTTTAGTTGCCTCTTAACACAAGCATTGGTTCCTGAAAGCTAATTTTAACCCGGATCTTCACGGATCCATGCCCAGGCGTTAGTTCAAGATGAAGACGCATATGAATAAGAACATGGTGCTTTTCAACCCCCACTATGTCAGTAGTCCTCCACATTTTCGTGTGTTCTCGATCGGCGTCAGCCTGCAGGATTCCTACTTCCATGTAGCTACACATGTTGCTCATTCATTTTTCAGGGTCAGCAGTTCCAGTGACAGGTGGCCCCGGTTGGGATTTCGCTGGTCCCCTCAAGGACGTGGACGTTTTTTCCTTTAACTGTTTTGCTGGTCCGGGGAATTTACAACATGTGCAGGCATGTCGTGCTTTTTGGTCTCGGCCTATTGGAGACCATGATTCAGGGCCTCATTCAGTTCACGGGAGAACCTGCCTTCTACGTACCCGACTGGGGATATTTGATGCTTAACCCTCATACTAGAATCATCCAAATCTCGAAGTTGACCATGTGGCAGATGTCGTTGAGAGTGAAGGGATTTTCAACCCGAGCTGCTACTACGGCCACCAAGATCCATCGTTTTACCTCTCGCGGACCGCCTCCGTGGTGTAGTGGTTAGAGCGTCCGCCCGGAGAGCGGAAGGTCGCGGGTTCGATCCCCGGATGCATCATACCAAAAGACGTTAAGATATGGTACTTGTTGGTCGCTGCCTGGCGCTCGGCATTAATGGGTACAAGAATGACTGGTCGGCTTGGAGTCAGTATAATGTGTCTGAGTGGGGTATTCATGCTTTACTGAGGCATGGTATCACAGTGGGCTAGCACTGTAAAACCAGCTTCAGTCTGGGCTAGTACAAGCAGCCACACATACACATACACACGCATGCACGTCGCTATATGAGCGAAATATTCCCAAGCACGATGTTAAACCCAATTCACCTCACCTCACTTCTTGCGCCATGTTTGATGACATGTGGTGTTCTTTTCACACCATTCGCTGGTCAAATCACATATATCCAGTAATGGCTACTGTCCCACAAGTGAAGGATTTCCTGCTTTTTTCTGAGTCAGTCTAGTTCCACGATTGCGACTTCGTTCCTGCTCTTCACAATGTTTTGAAGATTACCTCAGTACACGTTTGGGCCCAGCAAGGGGACCTAAGTATAATTTTATGTGACTTCCGTCAAAACCTTCCTTGTACCCATTGATTGGTCTCTTGTATGGTGATCTATCTTCAGCTTGCGATCTATGGCCCATTTTTACATTGTATTGTCCAAAAATAGTTTTCTTCTTTTTAAAGTGATATGTTAGCTAGTTTTAACTCATTTTGTGATAATCTAGTGATTTTACTATCCTTCGTTGACAGGGTTTTATCTATTATATGTATGTATTATGAGTTTAGAACTAGTTTTATCATGATATAGCTGAAATATTGCCGATGTGACATTAAATCTTAACTCATTCACTCAGCCTTGCAACCACTGAAATCTGCATTTTATGACGACCTCACTTACAAGACTTTCTTTCACATGCCTCTCGCCATGGCAACCATGTGAACCACTCCATGTGAACACCTCCAGGGTTGTTCAGGGAGGTCAATAATTGTCTTCAAACGCCATCAGCTCACCGTATCTCTGATACACTCCAGATGGAAACTTGACTTTCCTTTGTCGATTGTTGTTGTTCTTTATCTTCAGGGGGCGGTGGGGTAGACTAGTGGTTAAAGCGTTGGCTCGTTACGCCGAAGACCCGGGTTCGAATCCTCACATGGGTACATTGTGTGAAGCCCATTTCTGGTGTCCCCGGCCATGATGTTGCTGGAATATTGCTAAAAGCGGCGTAAAACCAAACTCACTCACTTTATCTTCAGACCTCTTTCTCTGATACGAGGGCGCTCAACTTGCGCCATACCCTCAGTTCTCATGAGAATGTGTAGCATCGGGTAATGTAAAACACGAGAGGAATGTTTTTATGCTGACCTGACGCTCCACCTTTAGCCTCACCGTTAGCTTTCTTTTATAAGCTGCGCATGTCGTCTTACAGTGAAGAGGTTGATCGGCCAAAGTAGATACAGCAGGGGTATTCCAATCTGTTTCTACTGTCTCTCTGTTGTCAGTTTGAGGGAGAGGGAAGCAACAGCACTGTATACAGTCAGATACGTATAAACAGATTGCATTTATCACGACATGCCCATTTGAATTCTTGAATGACATCTCAAGAGAAATTCATATTCTATTATTACCCCATTACCGTGGCTAATTATCACTGGAATTGTCACAGAATTTGATAAGACTCCAATACTACTGGTTTCTGCTAAGTAGTTAAACACACATAATATTCAATGCGTGATGAATGTTACATTCAAATAGACTTTATTACCACAAAGATGTTGTTTATTTACAATCAGATTTAGCTGTATTCAACATAGTGAAATACTGTTGTTCGTCTTTCCAAATATGTGGTCTTTGTTATCATCATTTCAACAGTCGGGGGACCCGCTTGATGAATTACGACAACAGTTACGTGCTATGGATGAGGACCATCAACAAGTGATCAGTGAAGTCAACCAGCATCATGAAGAGAAGGTATCAAAACTGATGTATCTGCATGCTCAGAGAAAGCAGAAACTGGAGAAGGAAATCGAAGAATTAATTCAGAAGCTTCGCCATGAAAAAAAAGATGAAACATCCGGTAAGTAGGAATAGTCGTTTTTGAAAGAGGAAATCTTTGGTTAAGAACCCTCCAGCTTCTGACGGTTTTAATGATATATACACATGGAAAAGGGTTCGTGATAGTTATCCCCTATGGAGCCATTTATAACCATTTCATAATTATGTTAGTTTATATACATGCCTTGACCCTTCAGTGGCACCATACATTGAGTTAGTTTCCTAACAATTTCATATACCCCACACATTCAAGCTGGAAACTTGAATGAATATTGGCAAACTACTTCCATTGGTGATAGAAGCTACTTTTCCTGATTGATATGCATATGCCGAAAGAAATACCACTTAAAGCCTCCATACACAATATCAACATAGCTTACTTAGTGACAAGAGTTAATTGTCAAGATACTTTTTCTTTTATTTACAGAACTCCATCAGTTGAACCTTTTCGCCAGAACGTCAAGCAAGTAAGGCAACACTTTACTTACTATGCATTACTACATGCCATAAATTTAATAAGGTTGCCCAACACCATGTCCATGGATGCCAAGCATTGACACTTTGCGTGTTAAGGAAAATGACGGCTTGGCACGATCCATCAAAAATCGTCTGTAGAATACTTGTGGTTTTGACTGAAAAGTCAATGCATTGCCTAACCAAGAATGTGGTGAGGGCTTCATGGAAAATAGTTATTTTTAAAATATCGCTGGATCAGGCCTATACATAGTTTCACGTGTATCGAAATCAACAATCAGGCCCTTGATCTTTCGACAAAACGAATGAAAGCATTTATATCATGGAATTTTCGGTCCTGATGTCATTGAAATGATTCATGAGAAACATGGCATATAAGCTTATGAAATGTCACAAGTACCAAGTTGTCCGAATGCCTTTTGTTGCCTTGAAGTCTTAGGTTTGGCGTACTTGCTGGCGGTAACACAGATGTTCTGGCACTCTGAGTAATGCAGAATGTTGCATTGCTTGGAAGGCTTCCCATTCTCAGAAAAGTTAGACCAGGCAGCGCTTCATGAGAAAAACTCCATTCGCTGTCTGTGTTGTGTGTGGAGTTGCTAAACCCTATTTGCTGATAATTTTTCTCTAAACTGTGAATATCATGTATGACACCAAGGTGGCCGTGTCATCTCATCATTTCGGCTGCCTATTTACTGCTGAGTGACTACAGGAACGTTCTGGTCCTGAGCTACGTGAATGTGCGTGTGTGCACTAGCTCTGACTCTAAGTGTGTGGGTTCGAATCCCGGATGAGACTCAGCCCAACAAAGTACTAGAATCTGTACTTTACTATGAAAGTGTAATCCCAAATATAACATATGTTACATTTGACCACTTTCTAAATGGCATTGTGTAATCAAATATTACCTTGTTCAAACATACAATTGTATCTTCTTCACAATGTTATGTCTGCAATGCTGAGACTGAAAATATCCTCCATTTGTTATTTGAAAGTACATATGTCAAATTATTGAGGCACAATGCGATGAATTGGACAGAGAATAGAACTTAATTTGTATTACAACAAAACATTACGTGTGTGGAAAAAAGATTAAATTCCCTCTCAAATACTCAAATACCTCCTGGATTTATAACATATGCTAAAATATGACTTATACAAGAAATGTATGGACATTATGCCACAGCCTTTTTACACAACTTTGTTATATTGCACGTGCCTATTATGCACGTATTTACTATGTGTCACAACAGGTTAACTTCAAATATTCATATTGTCCAGCATAATGAAATATATTTCTGCAAAACCATCTCAAATCTGTGTCCGTAAAAAATAAAACATAGTGATAGAAATTAAAGTATTTCTATTTGTCAGTGGGTCATTTCTGTTGATTTTGTATTAACTATACCCCAAAGGAATGGGTCCCATGACGAAAACTGTTATGGGAAAAAATAACCAATTGCATTGAATGAAAATTGTGTATTGGAAGGATGGATGGCTTCCACGGTATTTACAATGGTTTACACAAGTAAACAAAGCAAACGTATTTAATTTACAGAGAAAAGATTCACATGGGGATCAAATGTCAGTTTCACAATTTAAATCATAGAGTTTGAAAAGCGTTATCGAGTTCAGTGTACACTCCAGGATGCTCTTGTGGTCAGTATCTTGCGTGTTCTCCTCGAAACTTCATGCACCAATAAACACGACGTCTCACTGACGTTGTGAGACGTCTGATGACGTTATTGGGAATGTTCTGCCATTCCTGTGATAACGGACTTCATGAGGGGTCGTGACCTTTGGTCTGCCAGTTCACGGTCTATCCAAGGTCGTGTCTTGCTTTTGAAAACCTTCCATTAATCTGTTGATAGTTTTACGGTGGCATCCAAACGTCCTTACGACGTGCCCATGTTGATCATGTCTATTGACTTTTTCTCTCTGTTCGCGGCTTAGCCTGGGCATTTTATATTTGTTTTCCTGTCACCTAAGCTCAATGGGGTTGCATTTACAATGATTTAGTTTCTCAATGTGAATTTTGTGCATTTAGATACGGAAAAGCATTTGAGTTTTATTCACAAAGTGCACGAAATTCTCAATTGTTGGCAAGTTTATATTTGACCCATATTTGGCATGCTTTAAGGGCATTTAGTTTAATGGGACACTTTCTTTGGGCATTTAGTTATTATAAGAGAGGCAACAAATGTTGTGTCTAAACACAACAAAAATGATTTTAGTGTTTGTATATCAAAATACAACTGTATTTACGCTTGTCAATTTACACAAGGATCCTGATTTTGTTTTACTAATGTCCCTTCAAGGAAGATATTACATTCCTCGGGATCGTGTTTGACATTCTCCCCTAAATTCAAATATCTGAATGCATGCAAAGTGGCTGAAGCCTCTCGGTTTACTTAATTCAGTCAATTACACATCTTCTCAACCTACTTATAGAAACAGCCAGAGATAATTTGGTTATTTAGTGTAGCTTATTTAAGGTTTCTGTCTTCCAGAATGGACGACTTCCCCAAATGTTCTGTCTGTCAGCAGCAGTTTACCCTGAAGCGTCCCGCCCCCTACCTACTGCCCTGTCTACACGCCGTGTGTGAGACGTGTGTCACATCTGCAGCTGGTGGTGTCATATCATGCTCTACATGTCAGAGGGAGGTCAACCTCACAGACACATGCCTCCAGAAGGATGCAGTCAGACAAAAGGAAATATTCCATCTGACAGTCAAACATCGCCCCACAGAGCTCTTCTGTGCAAATAATGACGGCAACCAGGCTGTGTGTTGGTGTCGGGACTGTCAAGAGCTACTTTGTGAATATTGCCAGAATATGCACAGCAGCCTTAACGTTTTCAGAAACCATGTACTTCAAAACTTCAGTGACATGGTACCGACTGTCTCGGACATTCCAACATCTTGCAGCATCCATAAATACAACGTCCTGGATCTCTTTGATAAAAGCTGCCAGAAGGTGATATGTGCGAGATGTAAAATCCATGATCACGCAGACCATAATGTTGAGGAGTTGGATGTAGTTGCTGATGCTGTAACGAAACAGTTCCACCACCAAAAGAATGAGCTATTAAAGTTACAGACCCGTCAGAAAACTCACATGCAGAGCATCAGAGAAGAAATCAAATCTACTGACAGAACACACGACACTTTGAAAAGAAATATTGGCCACACTTTCCAGACTCTGCGATTGCTTCTTGATCAACGAGAGAGTGAACTTACGACCGATCTAGAAATTCATACAAAGGAGACCAAGGCAACCCAACAGGCTCTCCTCACCACCACTGAAGAAGATTGGGAGACATGCACAGATGTGTCAGACTACATCGACAAAGTTCTCCTCTATGCCCCCAAATTACACATCCTGGAGTTGGAGAGTCGTGTAGGAGACAGAGCTCGGAGCTGCCTGAAAGATGTTAGATCTCAGTCACGTGCTGTAACAACAGTTTTCGTCAATACAAACAGATTGTCAGGACTGAAATCAGCTATATCAGTATTGGGTACCATTACGACAGATGACGGGAACGTTGAATCTTTTAGAGGTATTCCAACTTGACATAATTATAAGTTAATTATTCTTTGTATGTCTGACATTCTTGTGATGTTTTATGTTGCATTATTTACACCTCCTTTGGAGTCATGTTTCTATAACTTAAGATCCCCCGTGTCTGTTGATAACTGTGTTTGCAAAGGTTTTAGTGTATTAACATTCATAAAATATTATCCCTGTATTTAAGACCTATCACGTAAATATTTTACATCTTGTATAATTCTCCTGTTGTTTCAGACAAGGATACCCAGACCCTTGATGACTTTATGGCAGACCTGGAGAGGAAACACAAAATTGTGAGTATAGTCTGTGGTACATCATACATTTTTTATCACAAACTGACCAACAAACTAGCAAATTGTAAACAGACCCAAGCAAACCTACCTCAACTTCATGTCTGTAGGGATGCTTCAGCCCATCGCATTCCGTATGTGTTTTGTTTTACAGGAAATTACAGAACTGAAGATGAAACAGGATTCAGACGAGAAACGTATTGAAAGTTTCAGACTGCTCACAGACAAGCTCAATGAAGACATCAGTAACCTCAAATCGGTTTGGTTTCATTATTTTACGTTCGTTCATACCTTTAGACATCTTAACATCTGACCTTATATTCAAGTGTAATATATATAATCAAAGAAAATCATATAAAGGTGAATGTATCAGCCCATGAACTACTTTGAGTGTTTGAGAGTTTTTTTCAGGAAAGTAAGGAATTGAAGTCGAAAATTGATTCAGACGAGAAAACTGTTGAATGTCTTAAACATAAAAGTCAGTGTGTACGTGAATTATATGTTAGCCCTTATTCTTGAAGTGTATCGCACAAACATTTCTGTTCCTATTCTTAATAAAGATTGCAAAGATTATAATTAATTATTGCATGCCTTGGACACCCTATACCCTTGAGCTAACCAATCCTTTGATATGTACAATGTTTACAGCTCATTGCCGAGAAGGAAAACATCGAGAGGAGACTCTCAAAGAACCCGGATGTTTTACTTGGTAAATTTGCATTACGTTTCTTCCTGTGCCTCCCAGGTCACTTAATCCGCAATATATTTGACGACTTCACTTGTATCTACAATCGGTTAAAATCATCGAAGTGGTAAACATATATAATCCTTGACTCCTTTAGCTGTCCTCCCATACTAAAACAAATCATATAATCACCTTAACATATATGATAAACATGGAGTCACTAAACCTTCCCGAACAGATAGCATCATCACTATTTGATTATGATTCCTTAAACGCATGCTCATGATAAAGTCGGAACGGACACAGCTCTTGTCAGAGGCTTCTTGTGTATTTTGAATGGGTTTTGTGGCTTACATTTATCATACATATATATTATGCATATATGGTTATATGCATGTTTGTTTTACAGGTGTGGCCAGAGAAAGTGGTATCCACCTGCTGAATCCAGGGACTGTAGACAGGTCTGTGGTGCTGAAGTGTGAGTACATTTACTCAAATAACATACAACGTCAGCACACCACATAGGACATGTAGTCATATACTACGACTGGGGAGAATAGACGAAGTTACGTATCTCATGCTTGAAGTAACGCACGCTGGGGTTCACTGATTGTGTGGTATTGTTTTAACAATGTAATGCATCATGAGGGCTTAATGTTCCTGGGTCATGCCTGGTGATCAACGTAAACACGGGCACCCGTTGATGGGCTGATCTTTGACATTTTTTTCTTCAAAAACCTTTTTTTCCAAATTTGTAAATCACAGACTGAGACACACTGGACATACTGGCTATATCTAGGTATTTTATGCGAGAAAAATCTATGCCAGTAACCAGAATGTGTTCATCGTGATGTTGATGACGCACGTCCAGCCTGGTGGAGCGTTACTGTTGGTAATGAAAATATCACAAAATCTAAAGTGAAAAAATCAGATACACCCCCTGTGACATTCACATTTGTTTTTTAATCCTGAAAGTCACTTGGTACTGTGTACACCCCTCAGCAGACTATATGCACTCAGTTGAAGAATATTTAAGAGTTTTGTTGATAGAATCTTCTTGAATGTCATTTCTAACTGAAAATATTGACGACCCTTTTCATCACATATTTAATATTCTTACCACCATTTATCGTTAAAACAGAGTAAATCGTGTTATTGTTTGCTTCCATATACGTCCCCAAAAATTTTTATACCATTATTCATGAGAATCAATAAGATCAATTACACCATATCCAAGAACACTGCAAAATGTGTCGGAGTAACTCAGGACACGTGCGTGACCACGTGACGTGATCTAGCCACTCTTAATTCCTACTCTTTGACATAATTGAGAAGGACTTAAAGCTTGTAAACAAAAAGACATAAGTACATTTGGTCCTTGTTTCACAAAATACAAACTTAGTTATCATGTTAGAATTTTTTCTAAAACTGTCAACAGTTGACGTCTGCAAGCATCTGGTTTTGATCGAGCAAGAAAAAGAAACGTGCCTCCGCCAAATCGATGTTGTGATGCGTTGCACTTGCTGGGCTCGCGTGTCATACAGCAAGAATGCATTTCTTTTTTGGGGGGATATTCTCAATTACTGTTATGCCAGTAAACAGAAGATGTTTATCAAGATGTTGACGACGCATGTCCAGTCTTTTACAAATGCTGCGTTAAAGCAAGACTAGAGTGGTGGAGCGCTGTTGTTGGTATTGACAATCAGCCAAAAAAAACGGTAATAGCTGAGAGTGACTTTCAATAACGTTTAAAAATCAACATTCACCCCTGTGACATTTCCTTTTGTCACCTTTTACTCCTTAAAGTCATCCGACAGTCCTAGTATTGTTTACAATCCTACTCAAGACTCAGCTCTTATTTAAAATATCAAGATATTATGAAAATTTCAGATTTTTGCCGATTGTATTATATTGTTTCTACCATATCTAACTGAAAATATTAACGACCCCTTTTATCATATATTCAACGTTCATAACTTCTCTATATCGTAAAAAACAGAGTAACGGTGTTATTTTTTGCGTCCACTGATAATTTCTTTTTACTTGGTTTTTCTTAAGAATCTTTAAAATGAATTACGCCATTTCCAACAACACTGCAAAGTGATATGGTTTGTGGGATATCTGTTTTTTCAAATACAGAAGTCCATCAGTATGTCCACAACACTTTATTTGTCAGCTAAGTATGTAATTACATGGTAGTGCAGCAACGGCCAGGCGGCATCACATGCAGATGCGATCGTCAGCCCACCTGCCTAGCCGCTGTCCGAGGGTCAAGTCCCGTTACATTAAGAATTCATTGTCTATATACTACTGACTGACAGGCTGCCCTGTATCGTATTACGATACATGTATGGTCAGCCTGCAGTATCCAGCATGCACCTCATCCACAATGTTAACTTCTGTGGCCAACCGGCCATACTCTAAAGTTAATTAAGGTTAATTACACGCAGGCAGCTGACCTGTACATGGATGTGCTGATGGTCATGATAATAGGCTGCTGATATTTCAATTATATTGTCAGCACTGTGATTTAGATTTAGATAACACAACTTTAACTAAACTCAGAGAATATACAAACATGTCTATATTTCCCGATAAAACCCATACCCCATCAAAGTGCCTACGACAGTGAGTTGGAGTAACCAAGCACACGTGTGGGATCGCAAGTTCTCAAGCCACTATTAATTTCTTATTTTTCATATAACCAGAGGTAGACCTAAAATTTGTCAATGTGACATAAGCTCATTTGAACCTTATTTCACCAGTTTCAAGGTTAGTTGTGATATTTGCACGTTAAAAACAGAGTGAAATTGACAACAGTTGGTCGTCTTCAAGCATCTGCCACTGATACTGAGAGCGGGAAAATCGAACTCGTCTCTACTGACGCGACCTAACCACGAGCTGCACGTGCTGGGTCCGCGTGTCACAACAAAGAGCGGGAAGGCATTTCGAAAATATTGTTGGATACTCTGAATTAATTCTGTTAGGTTTTTGGTCTCAACATGGTTTTTTTTCTGCTACAAACCATAACATTATTATATTTTCCAAAATATGATCTTCCAGAAACATTAAGAAAAAACATGACTTGTTTATACATAATGTCATTTTCATTTCTCCTGTTAGCGTCCTCCTGACAATCTACTTTTTTGCCATTGTCATCCCGCCGAGCGATCCCTGAAGATGTATATTAGAACTGGTCTTCAGTAATCCATGCTAGTAGTAAGAGACGACTAACGGGAGCGGGTGGTCAGGCTCGTTATGGATATTTTCGTAGATCGATGCTGGTATTGTCAATCACTGGATTATTGGGTGTAGACTGCATGTTTTGCAGATCGCCGTGATATAGCTGGCATACTGCTATACCTGAGTGCCCTATTAAACAACAAACAGGCAGTCTGGCGAGCCATGTTCGTCCTTAGCATGTAACACAATCTCCCGAATGACGTGCCCTGCTCAAGTGACACTGATTTTGACAATGTTTGACATGCAATCTACACGTTCCTCATTATAGCGCGTCTGTATAATGAAACAGTGTACGACTGCGACTGTTCGCTTCTGTATGATCGATGATTATCCTGCTCTGTTTACCATTCCGTGTCTGTAATTCAGAACATCAACTGTAAATATTTCTGATTCCTTTAAGGCCATTCAGATTGATGTGTTGCCCATACCATACTGACAATTCGGGTAGATTTATTATCAGTTGATCCAAATATAATACACAGCAGTTTTACCGTACTTACTTCTGCGTTGATTATATTGCTCTATGCATATCAGTACTTTGTAGATAGATGTGAATTTCGTGCACATTAATATTAGTATGGAACTTAACGGCGTATGTCTTATTTACATTTAAATTCACATGTTGTAGGTACACCACTGAAGTATGACAAAGACAGAGTCAATCTCGACAAAGTCCACATCAACACAGAAGGAGACCTGGTCAACAGGAAGTCGGTCACCAGACCTGCAGGGGAGGGGAGACTGAAGAAGTACTGGGGCACATGCGGTACTGACCCCCTCCCCCAGGATGGCTGTCCCCAGTACTGGGAGGTAGAGAACAGGGTCAGTCTGGACAAACCACTCTCAGGGTACAACCTCATCCTGGAGGTTGGAGTATGTAGGGAGGAGCAGAGGGACGTGGATTATTGTATAGGGGGACGTCCTTACTCCTACTCTATGACCGTCTCCCTCTGTACTCCACACGGTGGAATATGCAGGAGGATATGTAAGGAGGGGAAGTATGTGCTGCATCTGCCTGGCACTCTCCCCAACACAGCAGGGGCATCACACACACTACATTACGGTGTTGTCTATGATGACGCCAGGAAGAAGATTGTCTTCATTGATGTGAAGGAGAAGAAAGTCGTGTCGACGTTAGACAATGTAGACTGTAGTGAACCACTGTGGCCGATGTTCGGGGTGTATAACCCAGAGTGGATCACTGACAGCATGAGACTTGTAGTGGGCAGCGACATCAACATGACAGAGGAGAAGAAAGTGATGATTGTCAAGGCGCTGGCGTGATGGTGACAGTGATGGTGACTATGAACACATGGATATGTAGTAGATACCTAACAGCAGCATGAGTGAAGAGAACTTTCCTCATGACCTTGTTGTATTTGAGATCCTCAAGTATTTATACAAACACAAACAGTGAAGCTTGTAGAAAACATATCGCTAGTAGTGCAACTTATGATCTAGTACACCTATAAACTATTTTCCTGCACCTAGCATGTGGATATCACACGCGATTAATTGCAGTTAAAATATTAATTAAAAACAACATGACCCCTAAACATGTCCATTGATCATAACCGAACATGTATGGGAACATACACTACACGGACCTGGTGAATACCATGGGGGTATGCATGTGCTTGCCATAAAAAGGCGACTATCTTGTCGTAAGAGGCGACTAACGGGATCGGGTGGTCAGTTTCGCTGACTTGGTTGACACATGTCATCGGTTCCCAATTGCGCAGATCGATGCTCATGCTGTTGATCACTGGATTGTCTGGTCCAGACTCGATTATTTACAGACCGCCGCCATATAGCTGGAATATTGCTGAGTGCGGCGTGAAACTAAACTCACTCACTCACTCACCACGGGGTGTATGACATGTATTGGAACATACACTACACGGACCTGGTGAATACCACGGGATGTATGACATGTATTGGAACATACACTACACGGACCTGGTGAATACCACGGGATGTATGACATGTATTGGGACATACACTACACGGATCTGGTGAATACCACGGGGTGTATGACATGTATTGGAACATACACTGCACGTACCTGGTGAATACCAAGTGAGTGTATGACATGTATTAGAACATACACAACACGGACCTGGTGAATACCACGAGGGTGTATGCCATGTATTGGAACATACAGTACACGGACCTTGTGAATACCACAGGGGTGTATGGCATGTATTAGAACATACAGTACACGGACCTGGTGAATACCACCGGAGTGTAAGCCACGTGTAGAGTTTTTGTCACTCATTGCTTTCGATATTTGATACAAGTGTTTTATTTGACTTGTTTAGCAGTTGACTTGTAAATTTCACTGATATGATGTCACAATCCACAGTAGCTCATCGTGCTTAGGCGATATTTAATTTTTCTTTTTTAGAAACTGAATGAGAAATATGTGTATTTCAATTTGTTCAAAGTGTATTGCTTTGGGTTAACCCACAATATGTATATACAAGGAGAATATCAGGTATATTTTAAAAGACGCTTTCCAACAGTACTTATAGGCACTTTCTCGCAATAATCAGAGGTAAACATGTTCCCCCTTTCAGTCGCTTGCAGACAGAAATGAATTGTGATATTTTACAAACGCTTCAGTCACTATGTCTTGTGTAAAGGGGTGATTGATTTTATTAGCCAGCCCCAGAGCTTGTAACTCTTGCAGAAATATTGTTTTATTTCAGGATAAGTTGACCTACCGCTTCTCGTAAGAAATACAAGACAGCGGTTGTAGTAAATGTATATGCCTCTATTTCTACAGTAAGGGGAGACAGTAACATGATTTGTTATTTTATCATACTATTTTGTAATATAGACATTTGTTTGTGTACGTTAGTGGACAGTTTTCTTTTTGGCTTCCAAGATGAGAGGCCGCTCTCCTGTGGATATGTAGTTGGGAATAACCAGAAAGCTGTTTGATACTTTTTCACTTATTTACGCTCGCGTCCTCGTACTTTAGGACAAAGGCGTACCTTATTACGCTATACATGGTGGGAGAGCGAACTGTACACATATACTTATCTTGTTATTCCTCTGGTCCTGCGAAAATGGAGTTTAGAATAACCAGAAAGCTATTTGATATTAATTTACTTATTGTGAACCTTTGCAAACGCTTTACACAAATACTAATCTTCTCTTTCCTCTACTAGCATTATGCTTGTTCCATTTCCAAGTCAGCAAATCGCACATATAGTACTTTTCGGAGCTTTACTGTTTTAATTTGTAGTGGAGATTTACAATAAAGAATAGTCAGATACTAAATTTGTTCTTTTTGCTGTTTTTTAGTTCAGATGTACATAGATATCAGAGTTGACATCTTTTACTCACGTAAAATAAACAGGCATGAGTTCTGAAAAGTTCTGGGGCGGTTGGGTAGCCCAGTAGTTAAAGTGTTCGTTCGTCACGCCGAAGGCCAGGGTTCGATTCCCCACATGGGTACAAACTTGTAAAGCCCATTCCTGGTGTTTCCCGCCGTGATATTGCTGGAATATTGCTAAAAACGGTGTAAAACCATACTCAGCCAGTCAGCCAGCTCAACTGAAAAGTTCTGAAGCAGGCATTCTGTCAAAAAACAATGCCCTCCACCCCGCACCCCACCCCCCACCAAAACCAAGACCAGCAACAATAATACTAATTCAGCATTTATAGATCACATAGCATCACACATGACCTCAAATAGATGGTCCATGAGTTAGTGACTAATACACTGACTGCCCAACTCAGTTGTTGATCACAGGATTGTCTGGTCCAGACTCGATTATTTACAGACAACCGCCTTATAGCTGGAATATTGCTGAATGTGGCGTAAAGCTATACTCATTCACTCACTCACTCACGTGGGAGGGAAGTCCGAAGTAAGCCGGTTCACGTTGCTCCCCAAATGTCATCGTATCCCAATTGCGTAGGTCAGTGCTCATGCTGTTGATTGTTGGATTGTCTGGTCAAGACTCGATTATATACAGACCGCCGCCCTACGCTGGAATATTGTTCTTTACGGCGTTAAACAACAAACAAACAATCATGAACATCAAAGTCAACGTCTGCTGTGGCGCTGGAATCTTCGGACCTGGAGACGGACCCATTGTTGAGACAAAGGCAGGTACCTGCTTCATGATGGTCGTCTGGGAGTTTTGAGGCTCATTATCACTGGCTATCTGACAAGGAACATTTATCCTATTGGTTAAAATGGACATTCCTTTTCGTTTGGATCGTCTTAACTAGATTATTGAATGCCGAATAATTCTTGTTTCTAAACTTGGTGAGGCGTGAACATCTGGATGTTGAACTCACATCGTATGAAAAACAACCAAACCCACGACACGCTGACTTTCCCCTTGCTAAAACAGAGGCTTCAATTCAAGGATTTTACGAATGCTTCCATTAATTGAGGCCATTATAGAGAACCCAATTCACTTGTGTGACTTGTATTCTCGTTTGAGAATGTGTGACTTGTATTTTTGTTTGAGAATTCGCAGTCACCTTGTCATAAACAAACGAGCGACTAAACGTCAAAATTTTAATACAATCGTTATACTTCGGTAAAGCGCAATTCCAAACGCTATCAATCGGTAAATAATCTGCAGTTACTAAAGTCCCACATAGAGAAGTCAGGTTTTGGGGGTATTTAGCTGAATGTTCACATGTGCACGTTTATAGTTGAGTGGTTAAATATGTAGTGTTTTCACCAGAATGGTTCGGTGGCCAGCACTTCCAAGTCTGATTGCATGCGGCGACTCTGTTAATTGAATGGTCAGGTTCGGTGATTATCTGGCTCTGCTTATACTATCAATCATTAGTTTGTATGGTTCAGATTCGGTGTTGTAAGAGTCAGAGAGATGGAATATCCTTCAGTGCGACGTTAACTGAGAAATATATGTACCGTAAATAGATCTACAAACCCCTAGCCTCAACATGCATGAGTACAGAGGAGTCTAGCCAGCATAAGGGGAACAACTCGTGCTGGTTTAATATTATTCAGATCGCTCAGAAAGCACATATCTGGTAGAGCAGCCGCCTCTCCTCTGCCGCGGGTCTTGTATGTGAGTGAGTATGTGTATTTAGGAAGAATAGCTTTATCTCATTTACTACAGCCTGCCAAATATTTGACACGAAAATAGTTCCTGTTTTATTATACGCAAGTGAAATTTGGGGCAATAATTATCATCATGAAATAGAGCAAGTGCAAACTACATATTTTAAACGATATTTAAGGGTGGGAAAGTTTGCATCCAATAAGGCCATACTTGGTGAAACTGGTAGGTATGATATGTTTATATTAACGCAAATACGCTGTATTAAGTATTGGATTAAGTTGTTGCAAATGAATGTAAATCGTTACTCATATCAATGTTATGTATTACTTAAAAATTTAGATGAAAATGGAAAATGTAATTGGGTGTCAAACATTAGAACAATCCTTTTTAGAACAGGTTTCTCATTTGTGTGGATATTACAAAATGTTGGTGATGCAAATGTGTTTATAGTGAAGTTTAGAGAAAGATTGATTGACATATACAAACAAACTTGGCATGATTCTATTTGTAACTCGCATTATTTAACGAACTACTGTAAGCTGAAAGCAGTTCTGGAGCCTGAATGTTATATTTTACAAATGAATGATAAGTCTCTTCTAAGAGCAGTTTGTAAATTTAGAATATCCCTCCATAATTTTAGAATTGTTACTTACAGGAGAAATAAAGACAGTGGGAAAATTAGTTGTATCTGTAAAAATTGTAATCTTGGAGCGATTGAAGATGAATACCATGTTTTTATGCAATGTACAAAATATAATGAAATTCTGAAAAAGTACTTGCCACAGCTGAATGCCATGCCAAAATGTGAACAAAGTATGATAAATTTATTACACTCCAAAGACTCTTATGTTATTAAATCAGTTGCTCTGTTTTTAAAACATCTGTTTAAACATTATATATGAAACTATCACGTGGCATTGTAAAATATTGTAAATTTCAATTGTATTATAGGCCGTTAGGCCCACATTACTGAATAAATATGTCTGTCTGTCTGTCTGTCTGTCTGACACTGTTATAATACCCTACCTTGTACATTTAGTTGAAACTTAGACTCAGTTATACATACAATGTTTGTTTTGCAATGAACGTAACTGATACATACATTTTATTACCATAGAGAACACGGATCATTTAGGGTTGTTCAATAACGTGCGTAAGGCTTATACAAGGGCTATGTATGCAGTGGACCATCCACGACTATCCAGTGCAGTGTATCGCCATTCGACTAAATACCTTCGACACAATCAGCACCTTCTTTTTGTGACGTAACTAGCTCCCTTGCTCTAACCACTAACTATGTCCACGCTGACGACCCGACCTTGGGCGATCAGAAGTGGTGCCAGTT